GGAGCTCAGTCTTCTTGTTCTAGCACCATGGAATGGGTTTTGTATCCATTTCCTCCCTCCTCCACAGAGCACGCAGTTAACAAGGGCTCTTCTTTCCCACAACCCTTTGCTGCCTCATTCCATGCTTGGCACTCACTATCAGAGGACTCTTTTCGTTGTTACCCTCTGGCTCTTCCTCAATTATTTTTTCCTTTGGTTTGTTTGCGACAGCGCCTCACTGTGTAGCCCAGACTGGCGTTGAACTCGCGATCCTTCCACCACAGCCTATCAACTGTCCGGACTGTCCGTGTCCAGCACAGGCCCATATCCCCACATTTGTCCTACGCTGTGTTCGCCAATAGTGAGGCTTTGCACTCAGCTTTCTTGCTCGTGACTGGTACTTAATCACTTGAGCCACATCTCCACCTCTGGCTTTTGGCTGGTTGATTGGAGAGCATATTCTCTCAAATTTGCTTCCTGGGCTGGCCTAGATCCTTGGAGCTCAGCCTCCTGAATAGCTAGGATTTTGGCTTTAGCCACCAGCCCTTGGCTAACGGGTATATATATATATATATATATATATATATATATATATATATATTAGTTATATGTAGAAGACAAAGCATGGCAGCGTGGAGAGGAACTCATTTCTTGACCTGGGGAAGCAGTACATTGGAGTCTGTCAGGCAGATTGTGTTCCATCCTGTTTCATCGTCGGCCACAGCCAGTGCTGAGAGCATTAATGAACCCTAATTGGGAGGCAGCACACACTCCAGCAGGGGAAGAGAGCTGCGGGAGCAAGGCAGGCCTGTCCCTGGGGAAGCTGGCACACAGCACAGATTCGCCTGTGTCCGGTTCCAGGCCCGAGCAGGGTGCCCAGCAGTATGCCTGTCTGGGCTGCGCGAAAAGCAGGTGTTCTCCCACGACGGCCAGAGGTCTGGGAACATCTGTTCTAAAAGCCCAATCACATGCGTAAGTGCCTTGCTCAGCAAATAAAGGGCCGGGAGCCTGTGCGCTGGCTAGATAATAGTCCGAACGTTCCACAAAGGATGAAATTGGTTGTTGGGATCTGATAGAGCAAAAATTCTCCAAGGAAAGAGCATGGACGTGTTTTGAATGCTGGTTGTGTGGCAGAGACGCTCGGAGCCGTCGCCTTTCATCTCCCAAGTCTCCCGAAAGCAGACCGAGGACAGATCTAAACCAGGCCTGGCTCTGAAGCCCAGCTCCGTACACCACACTACTTCTAAAGAACAAAGATGAGTAACACCGAAGACGAAAGACAAACAGTCGGAAATAATGGGAAAAGATAATTTGGCATTCAAAAATATAAGAACTAAGAACTTATCTGCGGCTTAAAGCTAGGTGACTTAAGCCAGACCAGGGTCCTGAGTGCCGAGAGTAAGCTGGGGTGCAGCTCTGAGCAGGCTTTGAGGGGAGGGGGGGTCCCTCTTCACCCAAAGCTTTTCAAGAAACGAAGAAGACGTAAGTGGATCTCTGTGAAGCTCCTGAGTGAGCTCATGTGTTTAAGAACCGAAAGATTGGGTTGAACTAATTTAATTCCTCTTTTTGCATTTCTGTACTAATTAATGACAGTTGTTTCACTTGTACATATTATATTAAATTAGGTAAATTCTGCCCTATTACCCTACATCTCTGTTTGGATTTAAGCATTAATTCTTTTCATACAAGCTGTCTTAACAGAGTTTAGAAAATATTCCTGCCCCACATAACTGAAGGCTTAACTAACCTCTCCTCCCCACGGTGTTGCTTTCTTTAGAACTCTTAAATCCTCAAGAACGGTTTGGTCCTGATTTTCTGGAAAATATTAATTGAGAATATTCAAGGAACAAAAGCAAAGGCTCCAAGTTTCTGGAGTTTTCAGTGTTGCCTTGGCCAGAATGTCTTAACTCCAACAATGTGATCATCTGTTTGGAGAGCTCAGAGGCTGAGCGGATTAATTCCCTGTCCCCGTGTTGCAGTGTAAACAGCTTTTTGCCTGTCTTTTGTCATTAATGATCATGCTATAGATGTAGCCAGTGCATTGCAAGCCAATCTGTCAAGGCAAATAAACAATTCACCTTGTTAAAATTCCCTAAATCTTGCATTAATAAAACCAAAGTAACCCCCGAACACTCGAGACATGTCTTGCTCCATACTGCTGTGATGGATGGCATGTCTTAAGATCCTGGAAATTAAGTAGTTCAGGTCATTAAAAGTGTCCCACACTTGTTATTGATTTAATTTATTTTAAAAAGGTGGGGGTGGAGATAAGATGGTGGCACCCTCCCTCATTTCTTTTTGAAATCTGAAAGCTACCACTTGTAAAGATAATTAAAACTACGGCTCGGGCCACCAGCCCAGTACTTGTCACAGCATGTAAGCATTATTGTTCAGTAGGTATTGCATTGTCTTCCTAAGTAGAGAGCTAGAAACAGGTCAGTGACCATTGCCTCTTGTATCATTGCAAAACTTGCTTGGAGATGCATATACATCATGATTTCTAGAACTTCTGAGTTCTAGCCACTGAAATAATGACCTGGGCACTCAAAAAAAATTCCTTTGGGGGGAAGTAGCAGATGCATTCAAAGGCTTCGAAGGAACTTAACTGAAATGATATAAAAATAAGTCTTTGGACAGAGGATGGGTTTCACCCCCACCTTAATTTTATGAACTTTTTACTTTTTCACATCAAGGACCAGAGTACCTATTATCTATTTATGGGTGGATGGGTGGGTGGAACCATTCAGGAATGGTGCAGTATTTTGAGTCTGCAACACTGTACTACTCTAGGTCACCTTAACTGGTGTGAGCTTACTTGCCTTTCACAAGACTCCTTCCCCTCCTCCGCTCTACTGCCTCTGATCCCTGCACCATTCCAGTGCTTCATATGATAGATGTCTAGCGAGTCCTTGTAAGTACTTCGTTAATAAGAAGTAGAATTCCCAATCACAATTCTTCTCTCTTCTATTTCTTACTCTTCTGAGGTGACGGTGCACCAGGAGGAATGGAGCTAGGCCCAGGCAGTCCTGTCTCGAGGTACTAAGCAGCACTATGATTGGGCATTGGTGTAGCAAGTCCCACCCACAAAGGCCTAGTAGAACTGACAGCTCGGGTCATCCCCGACTCTGTGTACACCTCAGGCTGTGGCTGGGTAGCGGGGTTCCACCACCTCATGAGAAATGAGGCAGTTCAAGATGTGAAGAGGGCTGAAAACAAGCGCGCATGTCCAATGATGTGTGCGCGCCATTTGGCCTGCCTTTCATCACCTGTTCTGTGTCTTCGCATCGGCTTCCATGGTTGGTCCTGACATGTCACCACCTCCTCCCATGGTTTCTTTTTAAAATCTTCAAATGGTTGGACAGAGGAGTTACAAGTTGACCTGCCCATTGTGTATGCGCAGTGCACCTTGATCCGCCACCTTTGTGTTAGTCTCCCCTGCATTTCCCCATCCATTGCCTTCAGGCTCCTCGTTCTATTTTCTTGTGTGTGCACGGACTGTTGACTGTAGTCATCGTAATACTTGGCATAATTGCCTGCTTCCCTTCCTCTTGGGTGTTTTTGTTTGTTTTGTGGCAGTATTTGAACCCAGGGCCTCCCAGTCTTGCTTGCTTTGCTGAAGGCTGACACGCTACCACTTAAGCCTTGCCTCCACCTCTGGCATTTTGCTGGCTAATTGGAGATAGAGTTTCTCAGAGTTGTTTGCCTGGGATGGCTTCTAACTGCAGATTCTCAGATTTCAGCTTCCTAAGTAGCTAGGATTACAAGAAGGAGCTCCGTTCATTGTTCTTTAAGAACATGTTCTACTGGGAAAAAGTTACTCATGGTGAGTTAGCAAAAGAGTCTTGTTCATTCCAGAGCCTATCACACAATCTTTGGTGCTTTTTGGCCAGTCTGAGTTTAAAAAAAAAAAAAGTGGGGCAGAGGGAGAGAGAGGTGGCAAATTTGTTAGTAGGCCACACTTGCTGACAGATTCTTTTAAAGTATATGTGAAAACAGACACTTCTGTTTTCCATCCATTTCTCTCTGAAAATTGTTATCATTTAGACCTTGGAGTACTGACTTGTGTATGTCATTATTCCAGCTAATTAGCAGAGCACGCATGTGCTCTCTCTCTCTCTCTCTCTCTCTCTCTCTCTCTCTCTCTCTGTCTCTGTCTTTCTATCTCTCTGTCTGTCTCTGTCTCTGTCTCTCTGTCTCTCTCTCTCTCTCTTTGCCAGTCCTGGGGCTCAGGGCCTGGGAACTATCCCTGAGCTTCTTCTACTTAAGGCTAGCACTCTGCCACTTGCACCACACTTCTGGCTTTATCTTGTATGTGGTATTAAGGAATGGAACCCAGGGCTTCATGCATGCTAGGCAAGTACTCTACCACTTAGCCACATTCCAAGCCCTAGCAGAGTTCTTTAAATGGAAAAGCTGGATTTTTTAAAATGATATACCCTGCTTTACAGTTAGTAGTAAAATTGTAGAGCTGTCCACAAGGCATTGTCATCTGATCCTAGATCAAAATAGGTGATATAGCTAAGGAGGTAAACTTAGTCTTCCAGTTAGAAAAAATTATTCCATGACAGGCTCTTGTGAAAAGATGTGTATACTAGGCCACGTTATCATTTTGTGAGGGAAATTTGATCTACACATCTTGGCAGTAGAATTAACATGTATTAAAATACTCACTCTGGGTTAGGATCTTCGTTCAGATACGGGCCATTTTTACCTGGTTCTCCCGTCTCATCTGTGAGCCAGCATTTCAAGGGTTGAAGGTACTGTATCAAGGCTGGTTGAAGGAATGAATGGATGAATGAATGAATGAATAAATGAATGAATGAAGTACAGTGTCTGCTGATGCTGCATGACAGTGTCAGTCCAGATTCTTGGGGAGACATAGGTACAACACCTCCATTGGTGGGGAGAGCTGTTGCTGGTGAGGACTTTGATGGACACTTACGACTTTTGGATAAAATTCCTTTGATTGATTGCCTAGCAACCTTGATTTCAGTTTCTAATTCTGTGTTCTTCTTTCACAGGCTGTCATTTTAGAAAATGAAGAACTTCCCAAACTCTTTCTTGATTTCCTCAACGTCAGACACTTGCCCTCTCTACCAAAGGCCGAAAGTTGTGGGTGAGAACTGTTTCTGTCTTGGATCTGTAGCGTAGGTCGCTGTGGGATAAGTGATTAGCCTAGCAAGTATCCCATCATGGTCCCCGCACGGCCCCAGTCTTGGTTTGGTCGCACTTGCTTGCCTCCACTTAGAGTCTGAGGAATTTTCCCCCCAAGTCCTTATCTCCATCCTACAGCCAGCCGGCTAAGGCTCTGTAAGTCATGCTTTGTCATAAGGACCTTCCAAGTTGCCCAGAGAGCTGTTACCTGGAGGAAACCGAGTCTAGATAGCCTATTTAGGGATAGTTTGTTTACCTGTAGATATGTCCGCCAAGCCTACAACTCCCTGGCTAACATATTTGTATCATTCTAAAGCTAAAATCACCCTTCAGATTCTTTTATCCAACTCCTTTCATTTCATGGTTACACAGAGACACAAGAATTACTCACCCTTCCCCAGATCTTTTCCCTTGTAGCCGGGCAGACCCGTGCCTTGCACTGTGTGGGCCCTCCTCCACCTCTGACGTGTAGCTTGTCTCGCAAACATGGAAGCTCTGGATGCAGACCCCTCTGGTAGAGAGCCAGGCCTCACTACCACAGCAGCTGGAAAAAGCTCTCTGGAGGCATTAGCTCTGCTGGGTGCTGGTGGCTCACACCTATAATCCCAGCTACTCAGGAGGAGCCGATGTGAGGACTTGAGGTTGGAAGCCAGCCCAGGCAGGAAAGTCTGCGAGACTCCAGTTAACGACCAGAAAACCAGAAGTGGAGCTGTGGCTCCAAGTGGTAGAGCACCAGCCTTCAGTAAAAGCGCTCAAGGGACAGCGCCCTGAGTTTCAGCCCTAGGACAACCAAAAAAAGAAGAGTTAAGTCCGCAAGCAGCCCCTTACCCAGCTCCAAGCACATGCCTGGGCGGGGCCAGCTGCCACAGGCTTCACCCTCCTGCAGAATACAATCTGTCCAGGTGCCAGCAGCGGGGAAGGGCTTCACCCCGTCCCAGCCTCCCTACAGCTGTACATACCCAGCCACGTGCCCAAACCCCTGGTCATACTCCATGCTTGCCCCGCAGTCTATGCGGTCCGTGTAGAGGTGGTGCATGTGTTCACTGGGAGGATTGAGTATTTTAAGAAGAGACACAGACAGTGATGGCGCGTGAGTTTCTCCATTGCGCAAAGTCAATCCAGATCATGAAACCTGAGGCTTTTGAAGTGATCTTAAGGAAAATTGAAACGCAAGAGTCTTCTAGTGTCGGATTTCTTGAGATGAGTCATCAACCTGCTGATCCATAGTTTCAGACAAGCTCACGGGCCTCCCCTCCCCCTCCCTGTTCCCTACCCCCTCTCTCTTTCTCTCTCCTTCTCCCTCTCTTTCTTTCCTAATATTTTCCAATTCAGTGCTCTAAAAATCCTAGTAATTTTTTTCGCTGTTGACACAAACATTGCCCTAACTGACTTACTTGGTCTGTTTTTTTCTTCTTTTACAACAATTTTAGATCTTTTGATGAGACAGAATCAGAAGAGTCGAGGTAAGATTCGTTAGTCCTAGAGCTTTTTTTGTTTTTGTTTTGTTACAAAAAAAAAATGCCCGTGACATGAATGTTGTTGGAAATTGGTTTGATGAAGAAGTGAGGGGAGCACCCCATTATAATTACAGGTAGGCATGGTGTGCATGCTGTTTTCTGGGAGACCATACCCCAGGATCTCAGCATGAGTGCGTTAGGGGTTGTAGACCGTATCTGTGGGGCAGAGCTCCCTGAGCACCGGGAGATGATACCCCGAGGGCTGGTTTGCCACCTCTCCCTGGAGTTGCTCCTCCTCACCCACTCTGGTAGATGTATTTGCTCCTCTTCACACACTCTGTGGTAGATGCATAAACCTTGGGCAGTTTGATCCCCTCAAAGCTAGTTTGTAGTGTTTTCTGTTTACCGTCGTCCCCTGATGCTGACATGCCTGTTCTTGACCTTTCCAGCAAACTGTCCCACCAGCCAGTGCTGCTGTTCCTCAGGGATCCATTCGTCTTGCCTGTAGCCAGCGGTAATCAAACCTGTCATCTGCTAACAGCTCTTTACTGATCTGACCCTGCACCACATAAACCACGTTTTTAATACAGGTCTAACAGAGTGACATTGGTCCAAGGTTTAATAATCTGCCAATAAACTAGTGCTCTTGGTGTAAGAGACATTTAGAATTTTAATTGGGGCCGGCCTTTCTAGAGGAAATGTAATTTTTCTTTCTCTCTTTGACCAGGCTATTTTGAATTAGAGTAGGAAGGGATCAGAGGGAAGGGGTATTTGTTTTCTTTGATATTTTGTGGTATTATTTGGGTCTCTGCTCATTTTTTTGTTTTGTTTTGTTTTGTTTTATCAAGATAGCCAGACTCGGATCTAGTCTTTCTCCCAAACTGCATAGATGTGTCACAGTCATATTTCCACGTCCATTTAAACTATAGCATGCTACACGGTGGAGTCTATGATTTTTAGACGTTGTATATTTTAAACACAACTAATTGATTGAAGTATAACTGAGATCAATACGGTAGCCGGAGTCCTTTCTCCATTCCAATTCCCCAGAGCCCTTCTCAAAATGTTGACTTAGGCACATTTGCAGACATCATCTCATTTAATTTTCCCAGCAACCTTGAGAATAGGCAGGTAGCACAGGCTGACTATGAACATGAGGGTCCAGGTAGGTGTGAGACCGGACCTGCGCGGGAACAGACCTTGTTGCCTGAATGCTCCTCTGTGCTTGGTGCCTGGTAAGTTTTCCGCCTTTGTTTCTGAGAGGCACTAAAACAGCATGCTGAATAGACAGCAATAGAGAAAGGAGCCTCCAAAGCCGTTCCTTGTTTCTGACAGCAAAACTTCACCCCCAGAAAGAGACAAAACGCTGCTGTGTGCCCACACTCACTCAGATCACCCGCTTTTCTGTCTTGGTTGTGACCTAGACTCCAGCCTTTCCCTTCCTAGCACCCTGGTGACAGAGCTGCCATCGCTATAAAGAGTGTCATCTCAGTGGTTTTCCTGTAAGGTCTTGTTAGTGTGGAGTCGTTAGTTACCTCTTGCATGCGCTCAGCTGCCCATGTTTAACAGATATACATGTGATTCTGCCTAGCAATGCTAATGTTGTATTTAGTAAATATTCACAAAGCAACCTAGGCAGCTGAAGTAGGCAGCTGGGTTTTTGTTGGTGTTGGTGGTGGTTTGTTTTTTCTTTTGTCTTTTCGTGCCAGTCTTGGAGCTTGAGTTTAGGGCCTGGGTACTATCCCTTAGCTTCTTTTGCTCAAAGCTAGTGCTCTACCACTTGAGCCACAGTGCCACTTCTGACTTTTTTTGAATAGTTCACTGGAAATAAGAGTGTCACCGACTTTTCTGTCTGGGCTGGTTTCAAACTATGACCCTCAGATCTCAGCCTCCTGAGTAGCTAGGGTTGCAGGTATGAGCCACCAGCGCCAGGCATTAGGCAGTATTTTTATAAAGTATTTATACGATCTTTGTTTTTTTTTTATTGTGTGTGTGTGTGTGTGTACTGCCAGATGGAGCCCTGTCCCTTAGCTCTTGTGCTCAGAGCTGACACACTACCATTTGAGCTACACCTCCAACTTCTGGCTTTTTGGTAGCAACTTGCCAATATAGGTTTCATAGACTTTGCTGCCCTCACTGGCTTCAAACCATGATCCTCAGATCTCGGTTTCCTGGGACTACAGGTCTGAGCCACTGGAGCCTAGCTGATGGTTTTTCTTTCCCTCTCAATCTGGGTCTTCTTCCCCTCCCCTTCGAGGTGCAGGCCACATGCTCAGCAGCCCCTGGGGGGGCTTCTGTCTTCCTACCATTCATCACACCTAATCTACTGTTAGGTAACTTCTTTCATTCTTTCTTTTTTATTCCTTTTTGTCGATTATGGGACTTGAACTCTGGGCCTGGGCGCTGTCCCTCAGCTCTTCAGCTCAAGGCTAGCGCTCTACCACTTGAACCACAGCACTACTTCTGGTTTTCTGGTGGTTTATTGGAGAGAAGAGTCTGATGGACTTTCCTGCCCAGGCTGGCTTTGAACCGCAATCCTCAGATCTCAGCCTCCTGAGTAGCTAGGATGACAGGCGTGAGCACCGGCGCCCAGCCTTCTTTCATTCTTGAGAAACCATCCGCTTCCCTTTACCCTCCACCATGATCTCCCTCGCGAGCTACTACAGCTATGGAACTGACCTGTATCCACTTAGAACTCGTGTGCGTGACAGCCAGTCATCATCTTTGCTCTTCTCTTCTCTTCACGTCCAGGGAGGTGTGTTCAGGATATTTCCACCCACTTAACCCCTCTACCATTCTCCCCTTCCCCCTCTACCCCTTCCTAAAATAGTTCCAACAGTTTTCATTGATCTGTGTTCACACGTGGAGATGAACTACTTGGATCGTATTCCTCCTCATTCACTTGCCGTGGTAGCACAGCCCCCTTCTCTGGGGCCTGTTACTCAATGGAGCCTTCTACCTTGCCTGCCCCCAACCCAAATCACTAACAGCTTGACTGAGATTCATTATGCTCTTTTCATATATAGCTGCATTGTTTTAATAATGTATACCTTTTCTTTTTCCCTTTTGCTTCCCCTTCTCCTCTTAAATAGTCCCATAATTTAACTGATGTTATATGTATATTCAGATAGATAGATAATTGATAGATGTGCACATACACATGTATGTGTGTGTACATTGTGTCGTTTTTTCAAAATACAATTTAAGCCATCTCACTTGGTTTAAATCCCGTCCATAGAGTCGCAGGTAAAGCCAGGATTTCTGTTGTTTTAGGCATCTCTCGGCACCCTCTACCCTCCAGCCTCTTCACACGTGACTCTTCTTGCCTGTCTTCTGTTGGGGTCTCTGAATGCTCTCTCACTTCTTCCTGCCTCATAGTTGCCTGAAGTCTTGCTGCCTTCCTAATGAGACTGAAATCCTTAGTACTTGATACAACACAGTACTTATTCTACAGAGCGTGATTAGTCAACTTATTTTTCTCTGCCTTACAGTACTGGTGTGCTCAGTTTCCTTACATAATTATTAAAGAAGCACGTATTTATGCTTGGCTTTAGCATAACTTGTAGCTGTGATTATGTATAGATTGAAATTTAAAAATGAAACATTTGACTGGGCACCAGTAGCTCATACCTATAATCATAACTACTCAGGAGGCTGAGATGGAAGGATCATGGTTTGAAGCCAGCCTGGGGCTCAAGTTGTAGAGTACCAGACTTGAGCAAGAAAGCTCAGGAACAGCTTCAGGCCCTGAGATCAAGCCTTGGTACACACACACACAGACACACGCACGCACGCATGCACACACACACACACACACACACCATTTAAACCAAGAAAGAGATTGGGTCTCATTTAATCAAAGCTGTTCATATTTCTCCTGCTCTGATACCCAGAATGTGACACTCAGTGCTCTCTACCGCTGGGTTTCCTTTGTAGTGCCGATAAAAAAGGAGCTGATTTTCTAAGTTGAATAGGATAGCTTTTGATTGGAATTTGCCCTTTTAGGTTAAGAAGGCCGGCCTCCTCTTTCTGCTCTTTTATAGAGAGCAGAACCTTAACAGAACAAGTATACTCAAGACAATTTAGACTCCACGCTGCTGTAAACCACAGTGGAAAAACTGCAGCCAAGTATTCCCAGTAGAAATCTGGGAATTCCTTCAAGTATACTGAGATTTTGTTAGAAATTGAATTGCCAGTGTAATCCATCTTCCTTGTGAGAAAACATTCAGATAAAGAGCTGGCCTAGCAGTGTTCACCATTAGAACATCCCTTAAATCAATAGGCTACAAATCTGGCCACACATTCCTGCAGTGCCGGGCGGGAGAGTGTCTCCAGCCCCAGATATGAGTGATGGATGGCTGGATGGCACACAGCCAGGGCCGGCTGGGAGGCCACGCCCGCCCAGGCTGTGGCTGTGGCTGTAGCTGTGGCTGTGGCTGTGGTGGTGGCGGTGGCTGTGGCTGTGGGCTGCTCTGGCTCTGTTTCAAGGCTGCAAAATACCGTTATTTGATGGACACCCCTATGAAAAGCAGTGTTCCTTTTGTTTTGCAGACTTTCCAAATGTGGTTATCGAAGGAGTCCTCCACGGGGTCTTTTACCCCCATCCGCAGCCCAGGTAGAAGTCCTCCGTGGTACCAGGAGCCGAAGAGTTTCAAAGTCCTAGTCCAGAAAACCGATATCTACCAAACTCACTTGCACGGACCCAACTCGAGCTAGGGGAGAAATTCAGCCCCAGCCCCAGTAGTTCAGGGCAGGATGTCTCCATGCGAATGGCGCTTTTCAAAACAACCCAAGAGGTGGTTCGGACTCAGTGTTCGAAGCCGATGGCGGCCGCCCGCGTGAGCCCGCGGTCCCACCCCGCAGCCGCGCTCTGCCTCCCAGCCCAAGCTCCGCGTCTCGGGTGGAGCAGCAGCGTTGCTGGCTTTTCTGCTCAGAGCTCGTTACTCACTACTCCGCCTTGCCTCGAGTGGGAGCGTAAGCATCACGGGAGGCTCCCACACACCACGGCCCAACCGTGAAGAAGGAGCCAGACTGGGAATTCATGACTCTGACAGAATCCCGCCTTGCAGAGCTCAGCCTGGGACGGCTTCCGCCGTCTGTGCGCGCCCTTTGGAAAGGCGCCATGTTGGAAGTCTGAACACACAGCAGTTTCCTCTACCGTGGGCGAGATGAGCATGACTGCAGACCGGCTGATGCTGTTAGTAAGTTTGCAGGGGAGTCTGTCACAAAGCATACACTTAGCCGGCGCTGGCGGCTCTGCCTGTAACCCTAGGCTACTCAGGAGGCTGAGGCCTCAGGATCCTGACTTGAAGCCAGCCTGGGACAGGAAAGATTGTGAGACTTTGTCTCCAGTTAATGAGCAAAAGGCTGGAAGTGCAAGCGTGGCTCAAGGAGTAGAACATGAGCCTGGAGCAGAAAGGCCGAGGCCCTGCGTTGAAGCCGAGGTGCAGCACAAACAAAAACAAGGGGGAAACACACACCTTCTGACACCAGGATCCCAGGTAGCCCTGCAAGACGCTTGCCTGCCAAGCAGCTGCGGAGGGCGGTGGACAGTGCAGCCCGTGGGTAGTGGTCCTCTGCCTCCACCCACGGGTGAGCATTTGCCCCCCCCCCCATCACTCCAGCATGTCTGGTCTTCCTCATTGGTTCCTTCCCATTCACCTCATGAGCTGAGTGAAGTGTGGGTGAGGCAGTTCCACCGTCATGTTCTGAGTAGTACAAGAACAAAGCATAGGTCCTTCTGCATGGATGTGCTATCGGTGGGCATTTCATTCAGAATTTTGTGGTAGTTCTCATAAGTTTCTGTGTAGGAGAAAATATTTAAAATCAAGCATAATAACTTTCATAAATTTTTATTAGAATTCAGTGATACAGGTCGACCCCCTGCTGAAAACTTTTAAGAATATATTTTATGATAGATTATGTTATAGTACATATTGGAAATGAGCAAGAACTAAACAATCAAGTTCCGTCAACCCCAAATAACTGAATAGTCATGTATCACAGATACTTTTTAAATGTTTTTATGTTACTGGCTATTTTGAGTTAAATAAAAACAGAAAGCAAGAAATATTTGAATTTGTCTTCTGTGCCTGGAACTTTATGCAACACAAACATAAAACCTCTCACTTCTTTCTAAGCATTTATTATTAAGCCAGTAAATACTCATTGAATACTGGATGATTTAGCAGGATAGTCCCATTTCCTGTGTGCGTATGTGTATTCCAGTAACAGAACGTGAACCGAGGGTTACTTAGCTTGTCTGCTCAAGGCTGAGCCACGCCTCCAGCCCAGTTTTGTTAGCTAATAGAAGATGGAGTGTCAAAGACCTTTCTTTCTGCCCAGGCTAGCTTTGAACCGTGATCCTCTGGGTCTTAGCTTTCTGAGTAACTAGGATCATATGCATGAACCATCGGCATTAGCAAAGATGAACATTTTGGAAACAAATATAAAACAAACGTGTGGTGTTAGAAATCTTTTTGTTGTTGTACCAGCACTGGGGCTTGAACTCAAGACCTCTAGCTGTGACTTGGCTTCTTCACTCAAGGCTGGCTCTCTATCATTTGAGCCACAGCTCTACTTCTAGCTTTTTTCTGGTTAGTTGGAGATAAGAGTCTCTTCCCAGGGGGCTGGGAAGGTGGCTCAGTGGTAGAGCGCTTGCCTTGCATGCATGAGGCCCTGGGTTCAATTACTCAGCACCACATAAGCAAAAAGAAGAAAGCCAGAAGTGGCGCTGTGGCTCAAGTGGTAGAGCGCTAGCCTTGAGCTGAAGAGCTGAGGGACAGCGCTCAGGCCCAGAGTTCAGGCCCCACGACCAGACCTAAAAAAAAAAAAGTCTCTTCCCAGGCTGGCTTTGAACCGTGATCTTTGGTCAATCTTATCATTACAAGCTCATTTTCAAACGTGGAATCCCTTAATCGCTCATGCAGAGAAATCATCACACTGGAGAACCCAGCGGCTCCCATCCCGTGATTTCTGATCAGTTGATGGTGGCTGCCCCAAGTGCAATGTTAACCAGGACATCGGGCCCAGCGCCATCTGTGGCTCAAACCCAGCATCAAAGATCTGAGGATGGCCAGCCTGGGCGGGGAAGTTCACTAGACTCCATTTCCAATTAACGAGTGAAAAGCAGGGCTGAAGGTGTGGCTCAAGTGGTAGAGCACCAGCCAGGCAAGCAAGCTGAGTAAGTACAAAGCTCTGAGTTGATACTCCAGTATCTGCCAAAGATGGGCACAGCCCCGTGTCCCCCGAGGCTGACCCCTTCTACATAGACAGACCTCAGGGCATAAGCAGCAAGCCAGCCACTACAGGCCAGTGTGCAGTGTCGAGTACTGAGTCCTCAACTTCATAGAGACAGGAAAGGAAGGTGGTTTCAGAGGTGGGAGGGGCCGGAGGTGGGGAGCTAGGTTTTAAGAGATGTCAGCTGATGAGCAGATGGGCTGATGGTTGCACACCGTAGATGCATTTTGCCACAATATTCTGCAGCGACAATGGCTACGATGATCATTTGTAGCCATGTGTATTGTATGGTGAAAGAGTGACTTGATTTTTGACTGGTCCCAGAGCTAACTCGGGTCCTAATGCTCACTTGGCTTGCTCACTCACAGCTGGTGCTCTACCACTTGAGCCATACTGCTAGCATGGCTTTTTGCTCATTACTTGGTGAGACAGTCCCGTGAGCTATTCTGCCCCGGCTGGCTTTGAACTCAGATCCTCCAGGCTGAAGCCTGCCCAGTAGCTGGGATTCCAGGCCTGGCCAGAGGATGGGGCTCGGAGAAAGCTTGTAGGCTGGTTTGTTTGAGGCAGTTTCCATCAACATGGCAGACAGATAAACAAGTGCTGTTCACGTCATGCGTTCACTCCCCGGGGCCTTAGCCGCTGTGGTGGTCATGTGATGCTGGCTTTGCTGGAGTTTTCCAGCCATTTACTAGGGAGAGACCTCGGGTTTATGAAATTGTGCGGGAAGCTTGGTTCCAGGCTGTTTTGGTTTTCATCCTCAATGGTAATTCTAGGCTTTGAATTCAGCAGCAGAAAGTCAGGCTTAGGAGCAAACGACACGCTGGGCCTTGGCTGGCTTTCCACGCAGACACAGCTCCAGTGAAGGCAGGGACACACATTCCTGTATTAAAGGGAGGTATTATGACGGTGTTGGGCCACTGGAGTAGTCTGTCATTTGCTAGAGAAATCGATGTCGTAAGAGTATGACTGGAAACGTGGCCTGCACATTTGAGCTGCTTCCTGCCTTCGGGTACAACCACGGGTGTGGACCTCATTGGCTCCCCAAGCTGCGACAGTCTGTGTCATTTCAGTACAACTGCCGTGCGCTTGGGGGTCACATGTTGGGCTGAGACAGGGTTTTGATAAGTATTTAGCCCAGGCTGGCTTCAGGCTTAACCCTCCTGCCTCTTCTGCTTAGAGGCTGGGGCTGCAGGCGGCTACCACCACACCCGGCAACCACTGGCCTCACTTCGGCCAGGCTACTTCTGTGTAAGGCTCAAATGGGAAAACTTCATTGTTGGTTTTGTTTTTTAAAAAAAGATGCTCTTGGGAAAACACTAGAGTTGAAATACAAATGCCAGTGTTTAACCAGTACGGCCTGAGGGATTCTCATGCTGCCGAGTATAAACGAGGTGTGGTGTTGCTGGTCGCCGGTGTTAGGCCTACAGACGAGCAGCAGTTGGGTGTGGGTCACGTTCTGTCCAGGGGAAGTGGACTCAGCATCTACCCCTCGTTCTGGCCCAGGGAGGAGGGGGGGGACGCCGAGGGAGTGAGCAGCAAGGCCTCGGTGGGCACCCATCGGCAGGGCCTCCGCTGAGCCCACGAGACGCCGAGGCCACCGGGAGTCGCACAAGGCAGCCACAGGCCTGGCCACCGTGGTGGAGCGCGGAGGTGAGGCTGCGCGGCGGGCCCAGGCCCGGACACGGAGTTCTGTCCTGCTCCTGGCTGACCGGACCGCGCCTCCGCATCACAGGGCAGCTGCCGGAGTCCCCGAAGCAGATCTGCCTTCAGAGTCCAGGTAGAAGACAGGGGACGTCTTCATGCAAGGTTCTCTACCCAGAGACCAGCCTAAGAGCGCCCATCTGGGACAGACAGCCACGCTAGCTGCGTTTAAAGGCCTAGAACGAGCAGGAGCAAATCCCTGACACTGAAACGCGAGAGACTATGGAGACGTCCATGTACTTCTACATGCTTCCACAGGACCTCAAAAGCAGGGAATCAGGGAGGCACCGTGGCCCAGGCCTCTAAATCCCAGCTACTCAGGAGGTTGAGATCTGAGGATCACAGTTCAAAGCGAGCCAGAGCAGGAAAGTCCATGAGACGATCACCATTTACTGCCAAAAAGCCAGACGTGAAGCTGCAGCTTAAATGGTAGAGTGCTAATCTTGAGCCAAGAAAGTTCAGTCCCTCCCCCCCTTGAGTTCAAGCCGCAGGCTTGGCACACTCACAGAAGAAGCAGGGAGGATCCAGGCACTGGTAACTCATGCCTCAATCCTAGCTACTCAGGAGGTGAGACCTGGAAGATTGCAGTCCAAAGTCAGTCAGTCAGCATGGGTAAACAAGCCTGAGAAACTCCACGTGTAATTAACCAGCCAAAAGCTGTGCTGGCAGTGTGGCTCAGGCTTGCACCGTCGAGCAAGCCAAAGCAAGTACAAGGACTGAAATTCAAGCCCTGGTACTGTCACAAAAAGGAGTGGAGAGATGGGGGTTGGATGTATTGGCTTCTCCAAATTTGTGACTCCCGATTATTGTAACTTAGTCATGGGATAAGAATTCCATGAATTGGGCTGGGAAGATGGCTCAGTGGTAGAGTGCTTGCCTTGCATGCCTGAGGCCCTGGGTTCG